TTCATTTTGTTGTTGTCTGTGCAATTTCATTTGCTTTCTTCCTTCGCAATTCCCTTGAAATTTTTACATAAATAGTCTTGCCAGCTCCCTTCCCCCTACTTATCTGCACATAGTTTTGTTAGATTACATTTAACATACTTTGGGGAAGATGGATGGAGTTAGCACATGTCCAGGCTACAAAGCCACCTTTGTATATAGTTACATTGCTCTGAGATCAGAGCAGGAACTAAGTTTACTGAGTCAATCTTTAGTCCTGGCTTTTGCTTAGCCCTAAAATGGAAGTTGCCCTATTGGTGATGGTGTTACTCACCCATCACTCATCAGAGTAGGAATCATCTTGCTTTTCTGAGGATGTCTATGCTATGGACCTAAGCCAGTGTCCCCGGGGCTCCATTGCTGATGTCCATGGCTGATGAACTTCAGACAAATACGTAGATGTGATTCATCCGGCTTATTTTAAGCTTTTAGTTTAGGACGAAGTTGCTCGCTAAAAGTGCCTAATAACTTTGTTACTGTAAAGGGACTTTAGGTGAGTAATTTGGATACTGCAGATGTCTCACTTCTGCAAGTGAATCCCATCGTTTGTCCCTGGACAGAAAATTACGAATTTTTAGAAAAAGTACATTTTAATTAATATATGTTACCACCCATAGCTTACTTTCATCTTATTCACAGTTGTAGATCCTTGACACTTCTGTAAGAGTTAAGGTTCTTTAAGGTCTTAAACTGTGTTTATGGAGGGAAATGGGGTTAATAACATTGTGGAGAAAAAAAAAAACAAAACTACTTTTCCTGTTTGTAACTTTGAAAATACATTAAAATTGGGATCATCTTGGTTTGCCAGGAAAAGACCTCATGTTTTCTTCTAATATTGGGAGCTTTGCACTAAACAGACAGGCGCTCAAAAACAATATTAAATCAGGTTTGCGCTGCAGACTTGTTCAGATTAATGGTTACTGCAGAATGTATGGTATGTTCTATAAGAGGGGGGTAAAAATGATAAAAATTCCCTGTATGTCTGTACATTATAGCTAAATCAAGTATTACATTACTAAAGCTATTGATCTTTCCCCAAGTAACATTATTTTCTGTATAAAACTCTGAGTAAGCTTAATCTTTGAAAAACACTTGCTCTTAAAACCCTTCCTTTCTTTGCTTTCCAATTCAAGGGACTCTCAGAAGAGTAAATATGTTTTTCATTTACTTAACACAAGTCTTCAGATAGTGATAATAATCTTGAGATTCAGAAGACTATTTTGTAAATGCTTCAATCTTGAGCTACTCTGCCCTTTATTTCTCAAATAAATCTAGGTAATATTTGACCTGCAACCCTAGAGCTGTCAGGAACAGCGTACAGTGCCCTGTCATTCTCTAGTCTAAAATAAAAAAAAAAAAAAAGAAAGAAAGATGTAGCATGCTTTTTTAGTAATATCAGTGATTGCAGGGCAACTTTGTTTTCTCCTTAGGGTAGTCACCTCACTCTTTTATAGCTGTGGTAGGTACACAATGGAGAGGTTTTTAGCAAAGGAAATCGGGAAATCACGCCACGATACAAATGCATAAGCAGTTTGGGAGGCCAGTATCTTCATCGTGAGCGTTGTTGCCAACCGCGGGGCTGTCCAGCCACGCTGCATACGTTTTTCCAATGTTCCAGCAGCTCTTCGGCACATTTCCTCCAGACACGGAATAGTTGGTAAGCAAGTTAGCGTTTGGCCACTTGCCTTCCCCTCACACAAAGAGCTTTATATGGCAAGGGAGAAAGCTTTAAAATGGAATCAAAATAAGGTGATTTTTCATCCCAGGTGGTAGGTGACAACATGCAACTCTTTGCCTTTTCTTTCCTTTCCCTTTTTAGTCTTCCTTTTTAGTTTTTCATGCTGAAAGAAAGATATAATGCAAGACATTTTTGGAAGACTAAACATACATTTACGGTGCCAGGTCCTATCTGCTACATCCTTCAATATGTTCCAAGGAAAGCATGCAAAGTATTTTAACTCTGCTGTACACCACATAACTCACCTTCTCAGCTTAGAGTGACTAGTAGTACTACAGAGGGAGTAAAAGCTATGTATTTTTAATTCTTTTGATAAACCGGCGGGGCAGTGTCATTGATGTCATTTATTGCATCTTCTTTCAAGCTGACGCTGCTTCACAGTGGCATTTCATTAGGGGGATTCAGTGTTTCTTCTTGTAGGAAAAATTCCCAGCAAACTTGCTTTTGTACTGATGAAAGAGGATTTCCGTCCTGTTGGAGTGACTTGCTGCTCCTTCCAAGAACAGAATTTGGAAAATTTCACTTGTACAAAATCGAAGTTGTTTCTTGGTTAAAACATCGTGTATCGTTTCTTTTTCTCAGGAAAAAATAGTCAAAAAATAAAGACTGTTAAAAAGAGCAAGGCATTATTCTGTGGAGTTTTACACAGAAAATTAAAAGACCACTTGGGGAAAGATCAGTAGCGCTTTCATAAACTTTCTCTGACTTCCCCAACATTGAATGCCATTTCCTTTAAATGCTTTTTGCCTGAAGTAACTCTGTTCACAGAAATGTGCTCACACTTTCTTCTCCCTTTTTATCCCATATTATTGATTCAGTTTGAGTTTACAGAATATACCTTAGAAATGTAAAGATAAGGGAACATGAAATTTTCTTCAGAGCAGGGATGATGTAAGAGAAAATAATTACTCTTTGTAATCCTGAGATGAGGAAAGCTGATCTGCTGCTGTCTTCTGCTTCAGTGTTTACTGTCCAGCTATTTATTTCTCCTGCATTTGCCGGTTATTTATAGACTATTCTAAAACTGGTAGGACTCTAGAATCCACTATTAAGAAAGACTTCTTTTAGACAGGAGAATTGAAGGGAGAAAACATTTTTGTTTCACAGATACATACGTAATTTTAATACATAAGAAAATATTCTAACAGAGGAAAAGTAACTAAGTATTTATTTGGTATATTAAAACAAAATTAAGTCCTGTGCTTAGACATCTACTGTAGAAAATTTGTGGAGATAAATGAAATTTCAAGAAATTTTTGTCACAGAGAAGCTCAGTCTGTTTGATTACCCACCTAAAGTTAAATTATTTCAGTATTACTTGACAGTACCCAACTAGTAATCTCTGACTGACAAAGACACAAATTATTACAGAATTTAAACCATAAACCTTTTTTTTCATAAAAAGCTTGCATTTTTCATCTATTTGAAGAAGTTATTTCTTAATACATGAAAAAATTGAACCCAAATTAGATGTTTTTCTAAAACATATAGAAAAATTACAGAAGAAATTCTAGGACTGCCGTTTCTAGGATGTATTATGTGAGAAGTGTCCTGTGCTATGAAGACGTTCAGATTAGATGATGCTGGTGGTGCCTTTTGTGTTCGAAAATATGACCAAATAAATTCAGAGTCAAAACAGATCTCTGTTATGGTTATGCTAGATGAGGGTTGAAGTTACAGCATGTATTGTGAAAATTATTTTTAAGGCATACAGAATCAATCTAGACCTATTCAGGACGTTGGTGGAAGAGATTAACTGAAAATTGTTACTTATCTGAAATGATAGCTCCACAAAACGTAGTCAAGGTGCCAGAAGCACACATAGGAGAACTGGAAAATACCTAAATAGAACAGTTTCTGTCCATGTGACTTCAAGTCAAAATACAGTAGAAATGATTGACTGGTTGGAGAAGGAAAAAAGAAGGAATAGCCAGGTATGTTCCTGGGCAATTAGTGATTTTATTTACAACCAAACTGAACGTGTTGACTGTCAACAAGATTTCATGATTGATGGATTTGACTGTTATAGAAAAGTGACCTAAAAGACAGAGAATAGAGAAAGAACCTGTGTATTTGAAATAGCTTTCTTTTAATTTATATTTTTATTTTCTTATTTGAGACACTGCTAAAGCCAAATTCTAGTTTCATAGCCTGCCTCCAAATACACTTACCAACAGCCCTTTTGTCTTCCATTAAGTCAGAATAAAGAACTGCAAATTTCAGTTTAATCGGATGTAAAAGTGCTCAGGGAGTCAGAGCAAGATTTGCGTGTATGTGTGTGGGTTTTTCTGTGTTGGCTTTTGTCTTTAATGTGAACACACTGTTACTTCATGTTCTTTGTGCATATTCCTTGGGCTGCCTGGACTCTCTGTAGAAGTCAAGTCTCTGTGCCATCAGCTGGTCCCTGTGCCACTTGGTGTCCTCAGTTGTGGTTCCATGCTTACCAGGTGTAGTGAGTTACTCACTGAGTTATTGTTTGGAAGATACTTACACTCATTTCTTTGATATTTAAGACTATCTACTTTGCTTGTTTGAGAGAGTTGGGCAAGCTCTCTGCTTCTGAAGAGGATAATCATTCTCTTTAACCTAATGACTGATTCCTGGCTCCAATACGTGAAGGATTTAATCTCTTCTAGAAACTAGATCCTCACGTGGTGAAAATCACCCCTGCTCTGTTCTAGTAAACAAAACTCAAGCACGTGCCCAGACCTAACCATGAACTTCAGTCCTGCCTCAACCATGCTGCCATCGTGGCATAAGGGCATTCGTGGACACTTTTGAGATATAATCTTGTATTTGACACTCGACTCTGTGTGAAATACAGTCTTCAATCTAGTAGTGAACATTTTAAGCCATTTTTTCTTGAACGAGCTCTAATTCAGTCTGATCTCCTTTCTTTTCCTGTAGGTGCTCAGAAGTATTAAAAAAAAACAAAACAAGAATAGATTAACAGTGAAAAAAAACCAACTTGAAATACATATTTACTACTTAGTGATGTGTGTTGAGTGTGGGACGGGGCACTTCAGTGCTCCTCTGTGGTAGATCCTCCAGGTGATGGAGCTCCAGGAGATGAAAAACCAATCTGTGGTTCATATTTCTGCATCTTAACTCATTCAATGCGTGTTTAATTTGGGAGAGTGACTTCAAGGTTATGGCAGGGCGGCTTTGGTGCTGTGATTTCTGTTGTGGGAGTAAGGTTCATCACGTACTTCTACTCTTTTGCCAGAGAGCAGAAAGACAAACACGGATGATGGACTCGGCCCAGTACGCAGAATTTTGTGAAAGCCGGCAGCTGAGTTTTTGTAAGTATTATAATGCCAGTACTGTATTGAGATGTTCAGTTATTATTTCATGTAATAGAGAGCACAGCAGAACCTCATGTTTTTTGAAAGCACTTTTATTTCATCCTCAATAGTAAAACTTTAAATTCTTCGTCTGCGTAACTCCTGGGAACAGTTAATTTAGCATAGTTTCAGACTGTCAGGCATAGTATTTCATTTGAATTTTCACCAAGCTTTCTAGATGCTTAGATACTGTGCTGGTAGGGATGGCTGCAAAGATAAAACTGGTAAAGAGTTAATGGATTGAAAAGACAATACTTGTCTGCAGTCTGTGTGGTGGTGTTATAGTCAGCATATTAGTAAAATTTCATGGTTGCAGGTTTTTCCGAATTCATCTAAAATTAGAGAAGAGCAGCAAGTTTTGCTTTTATTTCCCTATCCGCAGAGACACAAAGAACGTACTAAAGAGTCTTTTCTATTTTAAGCTGTAAGCTCCGGCTGTGGAATTTATTCAACATTAGCCAAATTCATCAGTATACGCCATTCCAACACTAATAACATGATGACAGAATTAGGGTTTTACTAGCACTGGAAACCAACTTACTAGAAGTACTTGTGGGCCACAGCTATAATGAGCTGTAAATTAATGGGCTTGATCATGTAGCAAAACATCATTACAGAGGCGGTTAAGTGATGACTAAGGTTTTAGGTCAAATGTCAGAGAAAGTGAGGTGAAGGAGCCAGTAAAAATCATGACAAAACAGCACATGATCCTACAGCACAGACTTGAGCACAATGGTATCTTTAAATGAGAGACCTTATCTTGTTCTTCCTTTTAGATTCAAATAAAGATTCACTCATTTATGGCAAATAAATGACACATTTGAAATACTGTTCTGTGTCAGCAAATGTCAGCAAATGTAGGAAAACATGTTTTGTAAGCATTTCTCTTGCTAATTCAGAGTAGTTATAATTTGGCATCACACATCTGTGAGCCATTAGAGGAATGATACTTCAGATTAGGGTGATTTCAGGAAATGAAAGGTTTGTGATAAAGTCTTTTTTTTTTTAAGCCCCAAAATTATTATCTGGAGACAGAACAAATGGAAATCTTAAATTCGTGAAATGAAATTGAATGTTGCTGACCAGGGGATTGTGATCTATAAAAATATCTCAGTGGTATTTTTGTAATGTTTTTACATGTCCGTGTCTCTGCAGTTCTTTTTGACTGACATTTAATGTCATTAAAGAATAAGAAAATTACAGTGTTTAGAAAATAGTGGCAAGAGAGACTCAGGCACAAATTCAATCAGATAATATGAACTCAGCTAGATAGAACATACTAAAGGCCATGCAGACCATTTATGAAAATCTAATGCAAAGGCTATTTTTACTTAGTTTCATATATTTTAGTAAAAAATGAGTGTATTGCTATGTTTAAAGTAGTAAATCCTTTCTACTGTAATATAAGCCCATGAAAACTTTGTCACTGCAGAATAAACCTGTTCAGAAACTTCAAGAAGCCTGTTCTAACAACATATATTAATTACCGCTCCACATATTTCTGTGCGCTTGTAAAGACAGACAAAAGAAAATGTCTGTCCAAGGATCAAGTACTGCAGGAGTACAAATTTAAATCCTCGGGAACATTTTGCAGTCCTGCTGTCCCCTTCACACTTCTCTTGCTTTGACCTTATTTTTGGTCTTTAGCGACCCGATGTAACCTTCTCCTGCCTTCCTAAAGAATAACCATTATTTACACTTGTTTTCTGTTTAACAGAAAGCACTTGTCTTCAGCTTTTTAGTTCTCATTGAAGACTGGAAAGAGTTGTTTCAGAAGGTTCTCCCACCTTGTATTTACTTCATTTTGATTGTCCTGTCTTCACAAACAGCCTTCATTAAGACTTCTGCGTTACTAGCTTCTTTCTATCCAAGTCTCCAGAGCTTTCGGTGGTTGGCTTTTTCACCACTGATCTAAGTAGGATCATCATTTTTTTCCTCCTTTTACTCTCTCAGCAAATATCATGTTACTTTGTCTCATATTTTTCTCTGTACTTTCTCCTCAATGTTCTCATCCATTAGCAGCGTGAAGTTCTCGTATGAGCGTTGAATCATTTGCAGATCTACATCTATCCTTGTTTCTTTCTGTCCAATGCACATTTTAAAAACACTCATCTACGAATCATTTTGGCAAGCTTCTCAGCACCTAATCCCTGGGTATTTACCTCAAGGACTTTCTCGTTCTTCCATCCTTCCTCATTTGTCTTTGCTATTGTTAATGATGTCATTTTATCTAGGTTCAGATTTGTGTTGATTTCTTCCAGTGCTTTCTCTCATTCATCAAAGATGTGGCGCAATCGTATTATTTCTTTTACAGTACTATATTCAAAATCAGGTCTGTCCTGTCTACGGTCCTTTGGGGCAGACCCTTCCTTATTCTGAAATCTCCCTTACGATTGATTAACTATGTGTTTTTCTCTTTACTCTGTGCTGCTTATGGGTCTCCAAAATGTTGTGTATGAAACAACAGTCTTTCCCCAGTAATTCCTTTTCAAAAATTCCTTCCTTTGCCAATCGAATCACATTGACACTCCACGTTTCACATTTGCAGTATTTTCCACGACTGGTGAAAAAAACAAAAATGCATGATTTTGGCCTACTTGTTGTTAACTGTTCCTTTTTGCCCTTATGATTTTAACTGACAGCAAAGAAAGCATCCAAGTTTCGTGACTGGTTGGACTGTAGCAGTATGGAAATAAAGCCAAATGCAGTTGCAATGGAGATTTTGGCCTATTTAGCATATGAGACTGTGGCACAGGTAAGGCAGTAGCACTGACTGAACCCTGGTTAATCAAAATGCATTAATTACTCTAGGATATAGCTCAGCCTCGGGTGACTGTGGTGTAAGCTCCTTCAGAAACTTGCAGTCCCTACTTTAGCTGAGCGAGCTGCCTGGATTCCCATCTGTCTTTCAATTTGCTGTGTGACAGATGCGTGCTGTACCTTATTCACCCGTCTGATCCACATCTAGGAATGTTTTATTATCGTTACAGAGGAGAGTCGAGTCCGGCACGAACTTTATTCACGTCCAGACTGCAACCACATACTTCGCTATGTGACCTTTGGCAGTGTGTTGAGGCTCAGCCAACCCCATTGCACAATTGGATTAAAAAGCAGGATTTCCTGGAAAACCAAACGTTACCTTAGTGCCAAGCCTAGCCCTCCTGGGTAGATAGATTACTCCATATATTTACAGACGTGGAAAAAAAAAAAAGATTCCTTAGACTGAAATATCTCTGAATAGTTTTGTTTTCCACTGAGAAACGCTGTCTCGACCCACAACTCCCCTCTCACTTCATTGTTCCAATGGCATTTGTAGTTAAGTCCTGTGTCAGTAAAACTACCTGGGTTTCGGCTGTTTTTACTCCTCCAGTTGGTGGACTTGGCCCTTCTGGTTAAGCAGGACATGATTCCCAAAGCCGGTGACCCGTTCAGTCATGCCATATCTGCCACCTTCATACAATGTCACAACTCTACTGAGGTAAACCTTGATTTTTTTACATACTGATGCATTTTATGTTTTACTTCTGCAAGTATTTGGCGGTTTGTTGCTTTCAAAGTAGGAGTTGTTGAATCTGGAATTGGTGCACTTGATGAACGTTGAAGTTAAATTAATTTAAACAGAAAGACATTAAGTTATAGTTGCAAATGTTAAATTCTTAGCAACATCATTATATTTAAATATAAATCCTCGTTTTCTGGGTGGAAATTCCTTCTCTGTTGAAGGCTCTCTCTGTTGCAGATTTGGAGATTACAGTTGGCAACAGTGGCAAGTGCAATAAGTGCTGTTTTCCCTGCATCACTATGATACAGTTCTTGTAGTAGAAAGAGCAGACTCAATTCTGTATTGCATCTAAAAGTAAATTTAAGAGGACAATATGGGGGGGTTTTTTTGGTGATTTGGTTATATAATGGCTCTTTGACATCTTCCTTTTTACAGCCACATCTCTTAGGGCAATCTACAAGTGTGAAGACCAGTCTTGACTCTCCTGAAAACACACCACCCCCTACACCCACCCCCCCAGCATCAGTGGGACAGCAGCATCTGGGGAAAACCCCATCAGCAGCCCTGGGGAATGGTGGAATTGGGCAGGACTCTACCAAATCCAAACAAAGGAAGAGAAAAAAGGTATTTGATGCCTGGGGGGCAAAAAAAAAAAGGAAAAAGGAGCCAAAATATCTTTAGGAAGTAACACATCTCATTTTAAATATTAATTTTAACATGTATCACATGTTAACTACCAATATTATTGTGAGGATAACTTGTGGTTTGGTATTTTTTCTGTCAGAATCAGTCTAAACGTTCTCTCTAAGGTCTACAAACTGAATTTTGTTAAGATAACAACTGCTGCTTCTTAGATGAGTGGCTCCTCTACAGCCACAGCAGCAGACAACACCCCAAATAAACATCCCCTTCTCTCACAGTAGCGGCTAGCACAGGTTTGGAGGGTCAAAGCATAAGCACAGTAGGCAAAGAGGTGGTTGTGATTTTCCTGCTCCCCACAGCCGTAGGCGACTGCCTTCTTTGCCTATAACAACTTTGCCTGACCTGCTTTATTTTTATGCCAATTAGTTGCATTCAGTCTAAATATTTGTTTGCTTTCCATAAAGTATGGACGTCTCATATTCAGAATGTGAAATGTAAATATTACAATTCCTGTCTTCTGTTGTGGAGCCTCAGTATTCTGTCTGAGAGGGATATATGCACCTTAAAACCACAAGGGAAATCAATTTGATTAAATAAACTGGATAGGAAGCACTTAGGACTTTTTTGGAAAAAAAAAAAAAGTGATGTCAGTACTCATTTTACTGCAAAGCAATGGAGTAGCTTGTGATTCACTCATGTGTGTTATTGTTCTCCTACAACATTTTTCACAGGGTAAAACCAGTGATATTTACAATGACAGATAGAAAAAGACATATTTTCTCCTTCTAGTGTCTTCAATGCTGTAGATACTCCTTGTGTATTCAACTTACTCTCTACCCTTACTGTACTCCCTGTAGAAAGCCTTTAGTGCATTGTAAAAACCTCTCTGAAGTCTTGCTTTTTCCTATTCCTTTTTATGTTACATTTGGTTATGTCCTGTTTCTGTTGCTGATTTCCGTTTTGATTCCTAGGAACAAAGTTGGACTTGATGATCTTAAGGTCCTTTCCAACCTTGATGCTTCTGTGATTCTATAAGAATTTAGCTGGAGATGTAGTTTTTGGTACCTTATATTTCACTAATGTTGCGAGTTTATTTTAAATTCTTAGTGTTCGACTTAAAGCCTTTTAAAATACTTGTATTCCTAAAAGTGCACAGTTTTAATGAAATGTTCCCATGACTTTCCACCTTGGTTAGGTATATACTAGATATAACTGAGACCTTGGGACAAATGAGTTAACTTGGTGAAGCATGTTATTCTTAGTCCATGAAGGCCCAGTCCAGCAGGAAATATTTCAGTTTCATATTCCCTTTATGAATGTCAGTCAGCAAGGGAAGAATCTGCCATAATTTTATGAATAATTCTGTGTGTACACATGCAGGCTCCAGTGGACTCAGCACTCTTGAGAATAAAACATTTTGTAAAAATATCCCAGGTCTGAAAGCATTGCTGTATAGCGTGAACACACAAGGGGACCGTGTCTGTGTGTGCATTAAATTTCAGAGTATAATTTAAGTTTTTGTCATTCTCAGTGCATTCACTAATAACTTTTTCATTAATTTATCACCAAGCATCATTCTGATAAGTCGTCTGAATTCTGGCAAGCAGCTATGTCTAGACAGAGCCTAAACCAACATTTCAGTTTGACTAGCAAGGCAGAAAGTGTTACTTTTTCCTCTTAAAATCTCGGGGATATTTTTGTAAAATCAATGGACCAGTAGCAGAGAATTCTTATTTTTCCTGCTTAGGCTCCTTCATCCAAAAAGTCATTTGAAACTGAAGAGCATTCCAGTTTGAGGTAATTAAAATATTTTTGCATCCCTCTGACACCATTATGTCACATGCTCCATCTTCAATTTTCAATCTGATATTACTCGATGGTGATTTTGGTGTCAAATTGCCTTCCACTTTGAGTACTTATTCAATATTTTCCCCACCCCTTGACATCATAATGAGGGCCTGAAATGCTTTAAAAATAGTTTCTGTGGTTATTGCAGTATGACTTATATGACCCTTTCATTTTAGTTCGAACATTTTCTGCTCTTTTCAATTGCAACATACAGCAGCACTAGGCGAAAGATTTAAGAGGACAAAAATGGTGTTCTTTGGGTCTCTTAAGCAAAGTTCATGTAAAAGTCCTCTTTGATTTGTTAATAGCTTTTTTTTTTCCCCTCTAATCTAGTGTGTGGCAGCAACGATGTGTATCCTCGAGAAAAAAAAAATTAGTCCATTTTATAAAGGTTTATTTTCATACTTTATGCACTGTAGGTCTGTTGTGTGTTTTTGATTTAGTAACAATTTATGTGTTTTTCTGTTGCAGAGCACTGCAGCCTGTGGTATAGAGGCTCAAAGCGATGCCATCCAGCCCAGCCACATCAGAGAGGCCATTCGACGCTACGGCCACAAGATTGGCCCCCTTTCCCCATTCACAGTACGTAATAACAGAGTTATAAAAAGTTATATTTATAATCTTCAAGAACTTTGATTTTCAAGTGGTCAAATGAAGAAGCTTTGGAATTGTTGAGAGCAATTTGTGGCGACTGTAATTTTCTTTATAAAAGTGGCATAATTCTCTTGGGAAATAAAACAGTAATTTCTGTCTCCGTTTGGAAAGACAAAAAAGTTTTTTTTTCCTTTTAAATATTATTTTCTTTCAATTACAAATTATGCTTTTTCGTTAGTGCTTGAATTTTCTGTTTTTGCAAAGTTTAGGTTTACAGTTATTTTAAATTATATGTATTCCAATATGGTGAGGAGCACTTTATATTCTAAAATTAGTTGCGTGTCAGATACCGCTCCTATTGGAAGTTGAACTCTCAAGCGACACATTTACGGTCCGAGAACGGTTGCTTCAGACAACTTTGAACCTCCACTAAAACATAATAGAACTGAGCTTGTGGTGAAACACTCATGGGTTATGAGGTTTTGCCATCATTTTTTCTATGCAAATTGCAAATCCGTTGCCCAGAGCCGCCAAACGAATTCTTTATTTATTTTTCCCAGCTGATAAAAATGTACAAGGAGTCTGTCTCCAGTGTCATAGATTGGGGTCATTTTCTTCTCTTCTGCTGTTCCGTGTGGCATTCATCCTTGCTTACCTCAAAGTATCTACATCTAGGAAAGAATGAACGTTAAAGAAGTCATTACAGGAAAAGAAAACCACTCCAAACTAGATCTGAACTCTTAAAAATCAGGAAGAAATTGTCCATGTTTGGAGGGACTTTAGGAAAGGAAAATGATTCTAAATTTGGAGGAAGTTATTCTGCATTAGAATAATAAATAATAAAATAAAAATAATAGCAAGGAAATAGTAGGGCTTGACCTTAGAAATTAGTAACAATTAAAAATAATGGTTTTATAAATGGCAGTAAATATTTGGTTTATTAATGATAGTTGATATCTATTTACAGTAAATTATCTTTATGTAATTTTACCTCTCTTTTGCCGCTCACGAATGCTAGATTAATACCATGTAAAGCAAAGGACAGAATTTCTGGTCCAACATAGAGAAATTGTCTTTAGCAGAAGTTTGCCAAGAGGTGTAACTAAGAACGTGGCAGAACGTATTTAATTTTATTATAAAGAAATAAAGATCTCACATAAACAGTGACCCACACTAAAAGTTTTTTGGTTAATTTTGAACCAAAGTTTGAAATTTCCCTGCAATCACGAGATATTATAAAATACTCGAGTTTAGGTTGGTTTTTTTTTAATGTCGTGCAATCTTGTGATCCTCCCAAAAAGTGCAACTAACTGAATAATTTAATTTGTTGACATTACCTACTGTCGGTGTGGCTGATGAGATGAGCAGATCTTGTTCCCTCTATACAGACCAAGAGCAAGAGAGAGAATCTTGGGTCATCTTCTAGATGCCTAAAGATCTTGTAGAGCTACAGCAATGAGAAAGTTCAGGAAAATCATTTTGAGAGATATTGTAGAGTCTGCATGTAGTCTGCCAGTCTGCCGGCTTTCCCTGTCAGTGCCCTCATTGGCAGTGCTGGGGATGAACTTTGCTGTCACAGCTGTGCAGAATAAAAGTTCCCCAAACTTCCCGTAAGCTCCTTACAGGCACAGAAAGCATAAAGGTAGATTGATGCTTTCTTTGACCTTTTTGTATCGCCAGACTCTCACACTGCTGTATTACAAATATTGTCTCTAGGCACTTTGAACAGTACTGCGGCAACAATTCTTTTGATGATTTCTCCTTTCTGCTATTGCCACTACCGTCACGATAGTTGCTTTGTGTATCTGCATGACCTTCCAGACAGGGTGACCGAATCAGGAGAAAAGGGCTCTTTATTCAGTGTGCATCTTGTGATTCTGTGGTGACGCTTTAAAAACTGCCAAGAGAGAAATATTGAATGGATATCTATCATTAGATTGAGTGAAGTCATGCTTTCAGCTGTTTCCACCCTTAAAACTAACCTAAAGGCCATGTAGAGAAGTTAGGGATATACATTTGCACGTCATCTCTTCTTTTTGGGGCGTGGGGGAGCAGCCTGGCGGAGAAGGACCTGGGGGTGTTGATGGACAGCTGGCTGAACAGGAGCCAGCAGTGTGCCCAGTGGGACAACAAGGCCAACGGCATCCTGGCCTGTGTCAGGAATAGTGTGGCTACCAGGAGCAAGGAGGTGATCGTGGCCCTGCACTCGGCACTGGTGAGGCTGCACTTTGAGCACTGTGTTCAGTTTTGGGTGCTGCAATATAAGAAAGACATTGAGGTGCTGGAGTGGGTCCGAAGTAGGGGAACAAAGCTGGTGAAGGGTCTAGAGAACCAAGTTTTATGAGGATCAGCTGAGGGATCTGGGGTTGTTTAGGCTGGAGAAAAGGAGGCTGAGGGGAGACCTTCTTGCTCTCTACAACTGCCTGAGAGGAGGTTGTAGAGAGGTGAGAATCAGTCTGTTCAAACAAGTAAAAAGTGATAGAATGAGAGGAAATGGGCCCAAGTTGCGAGTTTGGGTTGGATATTGGGAGGAACTTGTTCACTGAAGGACTCCTCAGGCATTGGCACTGGCTGCCTAGGGAGGGAGTTGAGTCCCCATCCCTAGAGATGTTTAAAAGACGAGTAGATGTTGTGCTGAGAGACGTGGTTCAGCAGCTGAGTTGGTAAGGCTGGGTCAATGGTTACACTATTATCTTAAAGGTCTTTTCCAACCAAAATGATTCTGTGATTCTGTGATTTAGATTTAGAAGCATTCAATTTAGATTAATTTACATTTAGAATCATTCTATGATTTAGATTTAGATTCTAGATTTAGAATCACAGAATAGAATCACGAAATTGTTTGGGTTGGAAGGGACCTTTAAAGGTCATCTAGGCCAACCCCCTGCAGTGAGCAGGCACATCTTGAACTAGATCAGGTTGCTCAGAGCCCCATCCAACCCAACCTTGAATGTCTCCAGGAATGGAGCTTCCAACACTACGCAACCTGTTCCAATGTCTCCCCACCCTCATTGTAAAAATTTTCTCCTTTGGATTTAGTCTAAATCTACCCTCGTTTCATTAAAAACCACTACCCCTTTCCTGTTGCAACAGGCTCTGCTAAAAAGATTGTCCCCATCTTTTTTACAGATGGAGGACCCCTGCCCCTTTAAGTACTCGAAAACTGCTCTAAGGTCTCCCTGGAGCCTTCTCTTCTCCAGGCTGAACAACCCCAACTCTCTCAGCCTGTCCTCACAGCAGAGCTGCTCCAGCCCTCTGATCATTCTTGTGGCCTCCTCTGGACTCACTCCAACAGGTTCTTTTAAGTCTATTGATCATTCTTCCACATCAGATCTCATTTTGTAGTCAGTAGGTGCTCCGACAGAGTCTGCTGTGGGTGAGTGAGGAAGGATTTTTCTGCATGTCCAGATGTTTTACACCACATTTTGTGATGGCAGTTTACCATTTGTGTTAGCAGTCCTACTACAGACACAAGGGAAGGAATGAAGAAACAACGATTTTTGTGAGCTGTATACATGTTCAATTCAGTCCCTAAAAAGCAGAAGGCATAGTTCTACATTGTGATAGTAACGAGAAAAAAAGCACAAGTCTACTAATGACAAAATGCTGTATTACTCCAGTATAAGTTTATGTTACTTGTACAGGAGGAATGTAGAATCAGTCCCAGAAACCTAACTGTTTGCTTATCTATCCCAAATAACATGAAACATGTTAGGGGCATACAGGAAATCTCATTCAAGGAATAATAGGCAAAATAACTTACCCAAAATATTCAAAAACAGCTTTTTAAAAACAAGAGCATGTTACTGCTCTTGAGTGCTGACTGTTCAGAAAAGTTTGTGAAAGAAAAAGGAATCTCTTTAAATGCTTTCCTGTCTTCCAAAGTAATATTACATGAGCTTTAGCACAGTGCTGTTATTGGAATTTAGTAAATTATTTTAATTTTGTTGGCCTGTGCTACTCTGAAATTTTCTTGGATATGTGACTATTGAGCAGTAAGGAGGATTTACAGAAGAATTTTACCCTCTCTGTAAATTAGTAAGAAATAATGGAGAGCTCTGGACTATTTTTTCATTACAAATAATTTCCATCTTACTCCAGCCAATCATACGAGGCAGAGAGCAAATATTTTCTTTTTCATTTGAGAGATTATTTTTAATTTAGCTAAGGTTGTTTTCTGGCTTTTTGCCATGCTGCCTAGTGTGAGGCATTCAGTAGCCTCCCCCAAAATTCACTGTGTATCATTTTTTAGGTTTATGATTTAACAACATGAATTTTTGAAAGACTTCATCATCTGTACAAAATGGATTGAGTTTAAATCAGTAATGCGTCTGGAGAAATTAATAAGATCTAGACATGCACAGTATCTGATAATATTTCTCCTTTTAAAATTTTAAGATTTTCTGTGTATGACAAATCCATGTGGAAATTTCTTTGTGCAAAAACTCTCATTTTAAACCAAAACCTGCACTGTCTGGAAACTCACCCTCCGTGGTGGAAAGACTCACACATAACTGCAGAGACAGATGGAGATGTAGATATTTCACTGGGTTGTCAGCTGGGAGACCATCCTTGTTTTCTCCAGTTTCAGCCTTGCACTCCAAAAACATGAAAACCTCCTACCTCCCTTCTCCTCTGTGGGGTTAGAGGAAGGGATCTGCCTTGCTTTTGGACTTGATAAACATGGTTTTTGGTGATGACTCGTTCGTATTTGACCCAAGTGCTTGCCCATGCACATCTAAAGCTAACCCTCTTGACTCACTTGCCATGGAGAATGTAATGTCCAAAGCCTTGATTCTGCTCAGTTGAATAAAGTTTACTTATTTCCTTGACACAGTTCACAAGAGGATTTGAACTGATAGGAGAGTCTTCTTCTGGTCTTTTTCTATCCTACCAGTAACCAGCCTTCATTGTGATGTGAGCTCTCTGGCTTTTCCTCAGCCCACTTTTACGTTGCTCAAGGAACACCAGAACAGAGAACCGTGAGA